TCTCCAGGTGCATCTAGCGCTCCTCGAGGCGGCCTGTGCCTGCGAGTGGATCGTGACCGCCGCAGGTTCTTCTCCAAGTGAGACTCGCCCGCGTCGGTCTTCCAAGGCCAGTTCCCGCCTGTCGTCGTACTGCAAGCGAGTCTTGTCATAAAGCGTGGGCTGCCACTGGACCTAAGATGATGCTCATAAAGCAAAAGACTCCGGCAGACACACAGCTGCCACCAAGCAAGTCCACTAATGACTAACGCAGCCCGGTGGTCGGCTTGCTTCTTCTGCGCCCACCACTCCTCCATGTCTATCGAAGGACGAAGCGGGCGAAGGAGATGAGGAGTCGAGAGGCGGAAGCTCGGGAAGGATTTTCGGCATCCGGGCATTAGTCACACTAGGTCACCCATACAACGAGGTGAGTGCAGGCCAACACCAACATCCGTGCGCAGGGACGAATGAGCCTTCCCGAGACCAGGTTCTTGGCCTTCTCCATCAGATATGCCCTGCGCAGAGCCTGTCGTCGGCGAAGCTGTGCCTGAACCTCAGACGGGACATCGCTACCACTACACGGCCTCACGTAAACTCGCTGCCCCTAAACCCACAAAAAATCCAACCCCCATCCATCTCAAGTGACCTCCGGAGACCAAACGTCCGCCTCATCGAAGTCAAGCTCAGATTCGGAGTCACTGAGCGAAGTCTCCATGGCGGCCGCGCAAGAGGCCCTCTAGCAAAGTGCGGCAGGCCTCCACAAAACTAGCTGCGTTGCAGCAGAAGCTTGCCCACCCAAGCCAGAGGAACTTCAAGCACCATCCTGGAATCACAGCCCTAAGCAGGCCAGCCGGGCTGCCTTGGGAACACTAGACGTAGCTAAGCCTGCGCGGTCCTGCCACGTACGTTTCAGGGGTTTGGGCACAAGAGGACAGCTGCTTCCTCGCCGCCTTCGAGCAGTCCGGTTTTGGTTGCATTCGCGACGCTCGCAACCATTCCACGCGGCCGCCAAGAGTCCACCGTTTGTGGTGGCTATAGCTCTCTCCTTGCCAGCGTCATCGACGAACTTCGCCCGACACCTGTCAGGCACCCAGCCCAAACAAAAATATGCCAAGTTACGGCTCTCGAAAGGGCCTCACCGGCCAGATCCGTGAGGTACAGTGCCACAGTGGCTCCAGGGTCGGCTCACAGCAGGTCCCCACTCCTTTAGCATACGGGCACACGCTGCCCTGCGTCGCAATAAGGAAAGGCTACGAAAGGCTCAGCACCGCGCAGAGTTCTGCGGAGGCTGACGTAAGAATGCCGGCGCGTCGGGCGGCGCTGCGGAGACACCAAGCAGCTTGCGAGGCGGCATCTAGAAACTACCGCAGCGCCTAGTACAGTGAGTCCTTAAATTTGCCGTGCGGTCCTGAAGCGTCTCTTGAACAATGTGATGTCGTGCTGCCCCCAAAAAGTGTCCTATCATGTCCTATCTTGATCTGACTTGTTTGTCTGCAGCTACACAACCACACCGGAGATGGGATCCCTCATCACGAAAGCTGCATCTCAAAGCATCTCCAGCCCATATTAACTGAAACAGCACTCACACATGGTGGGGGGTTGCTCATGGAACCAGAAAATGGAAAATGAAACTGGAGGCCCTGACGCGTTTCTCAATACAGAAACCACATGTTGGGCCCCTTCACGAGCGCACCCGAAAATGAAACTGGAATTCTGAAACTCTGGACTCTGGACCCGCGTCCCCCCGCCCGGATTCATTTATGTAAACAGGGGCATTTCTTGAGCGGAGTACCCCGGAGGTCAATCAGTGCTCTTTCGTCGACTTCCTCGTTCAAAACCGCACCCCCGTGCGGAGCATCCTGAAATTCTTGAAGAAAATCGCGCTCCCGTGCGGAGCATCCTGGATTTTTTGAAGAAAATTGCGCTCCCGCGCGGAGCATCCTCAAAATTCCGTCGAATTCTTCGTTCAAACTCGCGCTACCATGCGGAGCATCCTGAACAATTAATAAAATTGCGTTCCGGTGCGGAGCATCCTGAAATTTTGAATAACATCACGCTCCCGGGCGGAGCATCCTGAACATTTTGAATAAAATTGCGCTCCCGTGCGGAGCATCCTAAAAATTTAAGAAAATTGCGCTCCTATGCGGAGCATCCTCAAAATTCAGTCAATATTAGGATAATCAACGTTCATCATAAAGGTATCTGAAGGGGATCATAAGCCCTAGAATGCGTCATGTAAATTTACATGACGATTGTTCAACTTCGCGCTATCTGATTGTCCCCAAAGACTTCCTTGATGACACCCAAGGCCCATCTAAGGTCAAATTGCAAGCAATGTCCCCCGAAGATTTTCCCGAGAATCATCTCCCCAAATCTCCCATCGCAAGCAATGTCCCCTGAAGATTTTTCAGAGCATCTCCCCAAATCTCAAGTCGCAAGCAGTGTCCCCCGAAGAGTTTTCAGAGAACCATTTCCCCAAATCTCAAATCCCAAGCAGTGTCCCCCTAAGATTTTTTAGAAAATCATCTCCCCAAATCTCCCATCGCAAGCAGAGTCCCCTGAAGATTTTGTTCAAAGAATCATCCCCCAAATTTCAAATCGCAAAAGCAATGTCCCCTTAAGAGTTTTTCAGAGAATCATCTCCCCAAATCTCAAATCGCAAGCAGTGTCCCCCTAAGAATTCTTCAGAGAATCATCTCCCCAAATCTCAAGTCGCAAGCAGGGTTCCCCTAAGATTTTCAGAGCATCTCCCCAAATTTCAAACCGCAAGCAGTGTCCCCCGAAGACTTTTCAGAGCATCTCCCCAAATCTCAAGTCGCAACAAGTGTCCCCAGAACATTTCCCGGAGAATCATCTCCCCAATTCTCAAATTGCAAGCAGTGTCCCCCTAAGATTTTTCAGGAAATCATCTCCCCAAATCTCAAGTCGCAAGCAATGTCCCCCTAAGATTTTTTCCAGAGAGTCATCTCCCAATATCTCAAATCGAAAGCAGTGTTCCCCCAAGGTTTTTCAGAGAATCATTTTCCCAAGTCTCAAATGGCAAGCCGTGTCCCCCTAAGATTTTTCAGAAAATCATTTCCCCAAATCCCAAATCGCAAGCAGTGTTCCCCCTAAGATTTTTCAGAGAATCATCTCCCCAAATCCCAAATTGTAAGCAATGTCCCCTTAAGAGTTTTTCAGAGAATCATCTCCCCAAATCTCAAATTGCAAGCAATATCCCCGTAATTTTTTTCAAAGCATCATCTCCCCAAATCTCAAGTTGCAAGCAGCGTCCTCAGACGATTTCTTCAGAGAATCATCTCCCCAATTCTCAAATTGCAAGCAGTGTCCCCTTACGATTTTTCAGAGCATCTCCCCAAATTTCAAACCGCAAGCAGTGTCCCCCTAAGATTTTTCCGAGCATCATCTCCCCACATCTCAAATCGCAAGCAGTGTCCCCCGAAGATTTGGTTCAAAGAATCATCCCCCAAATCTTAGATCGCAAGCAGTGTCCCCCTAAGATTTTTCAGGAAATCATCTCCCCAAATCTCAAGTCGCAAGCAGTGTCCCCCTAAGATTTTCAGAAAATCATCTCCCCAAATTTCAAATCGCAAGCAGTGCCCCCCTAAGATTTTTCAGAGCATCATCTCCTCGCCAAATCTGAAGTCGCAAGCAGTGTCCCCAGAACATTTTTCAGAGAATGATCTCCCCAAATCTCAAATCGCAAGCAGTGTCCCCCTAAGATTTTCAGAAAATCATCTCCCCAAATCTCTCATCGCAAGCAGTGTCCCCCTAAGATTTTGTTCAAAGAATCATCCCCCAAATCTTAGATCGCAAGCAATGTCCCCTTAAGAGTTTTTCAGAGAATCATCTCCCCAAATCTCAAATTGCAAGCAATATCCCCGTAATTTTTGTCAAAGCATCATCTCCCCAAATCTCAAGTTGCAAGCAGCGTCCTCAGAAGAATTCTTCAGAGAATCATCTCCCCAAATCTCAAATCGCAAGCAGTGTGCAGATTAGATTTGTCAGAGCATTATCTCGTCAAATCTCAAATCGCAAGCAGTGTTCCCAGAAGATTTTTCAGAGAATCATCTCCCCAAATCTCACAACGCAAGCAGTGTCCCCCTAAGATTTTTCAGGGAATCGTCTCCCCAGTTCTCGTCTCGTCTACTTGTTCTTTTTATTTCGGCGGGGGACGGCATCCGAATATGATTTCACTTAGGTTCAGTTTACACTATACATGCGCGGGAATACTCATGGCTACGTATTATGGGGCCCTGTCCTATCCTTTTCATACGCTGAACCTTCGAAATAATCACAACAGCACATTATGATTTGGGCATTTCTGGTTCCGTATACCCTGAAGGGATTCGAGGATGTCAATCTTATAGGTTGCCCGTTTCAATTCTTGGTATTCTGACAAACAATGGTCCGTACTATAACTCAGGTTTCCTTGAATTCGAAACAAATTTCCTTCCTGCGGAACACAAATCCGATGCTGAAATCTTGCTGTACATGAATTTAATAGCTGGTTGTGTGACAAGGGGTTTCGTGGCTTTTCGAAAATCAGCCTTCGGTAGCAGCACGGACCGTCTGGTTGTGGTATGGAGGTTCTGGTTGTAGTAGGCCCCCCCCCCGGAGCGTGGATGGGATTTATGTATTCAATGCGAGCCCAAGGAGGCCCCAATCACCCCCGACCATCCTCAGCGCTTGCCAAAATATGGAGTTGGATTTATGCGCGGGGTCAAGGAGGCCCCACCCCTCACCGCCCCCACCACCCTCAGCATTGACCCGAGCGTGCAGTACCTCTCACGTGGAGGGCGGGTGTTTCTTTTACCATCGTGCTAGCCGCGTACAGAGTCCCTACTAGTTAGAACCGTGAGAGCACGCACAACATCGGAACAGCAGAGACAACAAAAATAGACACTAAACCTACGCTCAACACAGCAACACGCCACTCAAAGGTGGCGAACTCGCCACACATAGGGGGCGAACAAACAAACAACAACAGACATTCCACAAACACTTCTTTGCAGCGTAGCAACGGACTGCGCAGCTTCACCATGAGGAGTCTCATCTGGCAATGGAGGAACCCACTCCTGGACGTACTGGTTTTTGGTATGGAATTTTAGGGAATATGTTATATAGGGATAATGGAACAGAAAATGGAAAATTACTACACTATAGAAGGGTATATATTAAGGAAATAATAGGAATTAAGGGAATTGATTTTACAGGGAGTATACATAGGGATTATATTCCCTACTAACCCTAAACCCTGAACCCTAGATTCTACCCCTACGTTCACGTGTTCCTTACTAAGAGCCAGTAAGTGGACGGACGGAGACCAACTTTTCAGGTCGTTGGAGTTCTGGTGATTTAGGACTCATGGATGCAAAGGGTTTCAGGATTTCTTGGAGGGTTTAGGGCTTAGGGGTTTCAAGGCGGCTTAAAGGGTTAGAGGGTGGGGCTGCAAAATGGGGGTCTTGAAAAGTACGCATTACCTTGGCAAGGTGTACTGCCAAATTGGAAAGCACCAGCCTTTCATACATTGACTACAGTCATCAATATACATCCATGATGAGCCACTTTCTGCCAGAAGGGAAGAACCTTTGGTATTGGGGACCCTGTAGTTCATTTGTTGGGGCCTCAGGAATTTGCCTGAAACCTGCAGCCAGACCCAATTAATTGATTAGTTAACTAATCACATCCTACATGCTAGATCCTCATTGGTATCAACTATGCATCCTACACTAGAACACCCCAAAAAGGTAGCTGTGAACTACAGGATGAAACCCAATTTTGAGACATTCCCAGACCCTACCAGGACCTTCCTTGTACCCTTAATTGGGGATATATGGTACCTAATGGTGGGTACTTAGGCCCTAATAGAGGGTAGGAGGAAGGTCTAGGTACACTTTCTTACTTTATCCTCTGCAAGGCAAGAACGTGCAGCCACACAGAACGGCCTGGAGGGAGACTGTGGCAAGAAACAGACAAACCTGAACTCGTCCCCCTTAAGTAGATAGAATATGGGGTATACGGGGATCTTATTATAATATGCCCAAAACCATATTCTATCTACTTAAGGGGGACTATACGTAGAGCCGCTAAAACCGAAACCCACCTCACCTCGGGCTTCTGCAGCGCATCCCCTGGCCGAAGAAGCTTCACCAAGAATTCGCAGTCGCCGTCTGAGATCCTTGTTGAATGGTGCTTGAAATTTGCTGTTCAGGATTGGCAACTACTATAGTATATTGGGGTTATAGATTGGGGTTCTATTGGGGTTTTATGCTTCTTTTCGGTAACTTGGGGGCCTAGGCGCGCCGTGGGGCCTTGAAAGTACAGGACTTTGTGTGACCAAGTCTTTAGGCCTGAGCTCTTCCTGAAACTGCTACAGTTGAAGGGCTTAAGCCAAATGAATCCTGTCCTGTATGTATCCTGATGCCGCAAGCATTGCTCACAATATGACACCTATCATCATCAGCATCACTACTCTGCTAGTCGTGCCATAACTGCCTTAATTTAACGCCCAGGGCGCAGAATCCACGGTGCAGGCCCTGCTGTCTTTCGCAGGATTTGTGCCCAGAACCTGGGATCATACCGACTGCAGTGAAGGACGTGTTGGAGTCTAAGAACATTGTGTCAGCATGGTGCTTGGGGGTACCAAGCGGGCGGGAGATGGAGGTGTCGGGGCGTAGCCGTAGCCAATCGCATGAGATCCAAGTGGGAGCCAACCAGACAAGCACAACAGAGTTGGATACTTTCAACGCTTACACTACCCCAGTGTCCATGTCAATTTCCGTTTGATTGTCAGAGGCCAAAGCAGCCCTGATCAGGTCAACTCGCTGGATCTGGCCTGATGCCGCCACAGCACAAACCGAATTTGTGAGGTTTTTGTGGCTTCCAGCAGGCTCTAAGGGTCAGGGTCAAAAAGCTTATTAAAGGCCAGCACAGAAAAAATGATTTCAACCCTCCAAATCATGGCAGGACACCCAGTTTCATTGGCCCTCTCCTCTAGCAAAGGAGATACTTCACAGCAGGGGCTATCATCCCCTGGAATGTCGGAGTTCGGGTCCGGAGTGAATTTTTCATGCAGAAAGTGGTCCATTAGGAGGCATTGGTCCGCGTGCCAAGATGTTGAACTCAAAAAAGCCATCTCGATACAATGACAAGACGGGCTTCTGGCCGCACATTTGGGTACATAATGCCCTAAAACGGGCAAGAGTATTTTGTGGAAGATCAGCACTCGCCATTTTGTGTAGGAACATTCCGAGGACTTGGGGCCCTGTCGGTCAAGGCTTCTTCCCGTGGGTATTTCACAATTGGCTGGTGCTTGCAAAATTGCATCACTTTCCTGCCAGGCAGCTCAGTAGCTCCGTCCTGGGCACAAAGTTGGATAGTCCTCAGAAGCTGCAGGATCATCATGCAAGGCTTTAGGGTTTAGGGTTTTTGGAGACTCAAGTGTATTGATATGCAGTTGCCAGTGGACATGTCCCGAGAATAACAAGGCAAAAGTGCGTCCCTTTTATAACGATTCGAAAGCCACATTGTGGCCCCTATTTGAGGACCCCCATGTATCCCTACGATTGCAATTGCCATTGTTGTGATAGATGTGACGCCATAAATCTCTACTGCGCAACATCTAGAAGGGTTCTGACTCACACCATGACTCAGCCCACCAAGCAAGAAGCAGGCAAGTGTCTGCGAAACTTCGATCACATCATATGCCTCCAGATTTCCCACAATTGGCGAGAATATGCTCCTTGGCAGCTTTGAACCACAGACCTTGTGTACCTTGCAGCACTGCTACAATGCTACAAGAAAGACTGGTAGCCGAGACCAAGGTGTTCAGATCACATCCTGCCTGTTTCTCAAGTTCAAGTGAAACCTTGGCAACAGTCTGAGTGCCCAAAAACGCATTACTCCATCTGTCCCGAGCACGGAGCAGCGCGGATGTTGTGGTAGGAGGTTACATGCGGATCTACCTGCTTGTGCAAAATTGGGAGCTTCAAGAAAGCTGCATGTAAGCAAGGGTCTATATCCCACGGGGCCAACTTGATGAAAGCAACCAGACCAACTTGCTCACACTCTGTGGGCAACTGTACGGGCATTGAACATTCTGGGGCGACGTGTGGCGTCAGCAACACTTTGTCTGGAGATTTGTTGCACCGAAGCACTCAGACTTTCCTGGAAACTCATTCCATCTGAGGATACTGTGATAGGAACGACTGCCTTCATGTACCAAAAGTGAAAGCGCGGCCTAAAGAGAGGCAGGAGGAAATCTTTGAGGTGCTTTCATGGCAACGCCAAAGCCCCTCACTCAATCGCCAGCCTCCCACCCTGAGCCTCATAAGACCCCCTTAACACAAAAACAGAATTGCCACAGCCAAAGCCAAGGCGCCGCAGCATGAAACACAAGTAATTCTAACTATTACGAAGCCCTGCTCCCTGCAATCTGCAATGTGGAAGGTGAAACATGGTAAGTTGATAGCGACTGCTAAGCAAGGAACCTCACAGTCTGGTATGTCAGATCCAAAACCAACCAGGGTCCACAACTCGGGAACAGCAGCCCGAAACATAAACATTTGGAAGTGCCTGTGTGCCTACTCGGTCCGCTCTCGTGCTTGACCCAAAACCATGTGCACTGATTCAACTTTTGGGAGCATGTTCTGGAGCCTGCAAAAATCGGGGGGAGGGGGGGGGGGCCTGACAAGTCCAGAAAGACAGGTGCACTTCTCGATTTGTTTGTGTCATCCTTTCGCCAGGGCGCTCAGATTAGTTGGGATGATCCCCGAAGAGAATCCATTGCGGGCTAGCCCAACAAGTGAGCCATAGTCTAAACTCCTAGTATCCCTCTTAATATGCCCTATAGTATTCCCCTATATAACCCCCTATATAACCCCCTTTCAGGAGTTTAGACTATAGCTCATATAGGGGATTCCGCGGATCCCTATCGGGGATTGCATAGAGGACATTTTGAGAAACTCGCAAC